TAGAAGTTGTTTGACCTTGTTTTCGCAACTCGGTCACATTAGTAGGAAGACTTAGACGAACTAACCTAGTCCGGAGTCCATTGTATGCATGCACATTTTCAGAGGACCGTGGACGTGGTACATCCGACTTGTATCTTTGACGAGTTGTAATATGGTGCTACGAATGGCGAAACTCACTGACGACGCCGATTACGATGCCGGCGAAACGTTTGTCAATGTACCACGTCCACAGTCCTTCTCTGGAAATGATGATGCATACAATGGACTCCGAACTAGGTGCGTTTATCTAAGTCTTGCTTCTTTACTACTACTCAAGCAGAGCATCCTTATGCGACTGAAGGCGTAAAAATGGCAAAATGAAGGTCATTAATGACCAAAATCAAATTATAAATGGTGATTTATCAGCGATGATCAAAAACTAGTTTCAGCCTGTAAGCCAGCTTAAATAATAATAAAGCTACAGCGGGTCAAAACCGAAAATGATACACTGCATGACAAATGCCTTTTCAGCTTAAGGGAAAAAATCAGATCGACCCTAGCACCAGATAAGAAGGCCAGAATGTGAGTGCCCGTATCTCACGCTTTCGAGCGACTTAATTTCCAACGCAAGTGTAGTATGAATAGGTAAAAATGGATGCGCTAAATTGGCGACTAACGAAGAGTTAGACTAGAAACTATCTGGAATAGCATGTCCGATAATCGACTTGAGACGTGCGGATATCGTGTGTAATCAAACTCTCAAACCAAACGCCTAAGAAGAGAACATAAAACCCATAAATATTATGTCTACCGCGTTTTTTTGTTGAGATACAATTTTGGTAGCTGTAGCAGTAGTTGAAGCTGGATTTCAAGTTGGATATTACAAAACACAATAGAAAGACTAATAAGTAATCAATGATAAAAAGACAGAAAGAAGATTAAAGACGAGAGGGAAAAAGAGATGACAGTGAAACAAGGACAATAATGATATTAAGAGGGAATGGAAGATGAATGACGAACCCAGCTGAGGCCAGAGGATAAAATTCAGTCTGACGTACACTAAGTACAGACAGCCAGGTCTCAAAAGTGGGAGCCGGGAAATGAAAATGCAACAGCCCTCCGCTAGGGAAAGTTCACATCTCCGATACACAAGTCGCACACCTTCGGGGCAGCCAAGCCTACTCGTCCAAAAGCCCAACAAGCAAATAAATAGTGCATACGCGCGTTTGTATGAAAATGTTTGCATTTGGATCTTCATATAAGTAAATATGCGCATACAATCAAGGCCCCATGCAATCTGCAAGAGGCGGATAGAAAAAAGTGGGGTTAATTGGACAATAGCAACATGCCGCAGCAGAAGAACAAAGACTTAAATGGGTGAAAATGTGGAGCAACATGAAAATGTAAGAAATAAGGATATCAAACGCAGAGAAGTGAAAGTGGATTGCTGGTCGCGTCGGAAATAAGGATCTAGAAAAAATAGATAATATGTTACAGGAATATACCAACGGAGGTGGTAGCTTGCAAAACGCGATGATTATGGTGTTGCTATATCTTTTGTTACATTTCTCATACATAAGAAATTCCCATTCAAAGGGCAATAAGTCAAAGGAGAAAAAAGATTCAAGCATCAAGTGCAATAGGAAAAAACAGCTTAAGTCCTCGGGGAAAACCACTTGGGTGGCATATCATTCAGGATCCTATACACACGGAAAGATTAAATAGAAAAAAACACTATTTGTCGAAACGCGGATAGTGAGAAGGAAAATAGTGTGCCTGTGCCTGTGTGAAACGAATTCATAGCTAAATAGCAGTGTTAAAACAAAACATTCTGTACAAATTATGTACTTGAAAATATACATGAACTTATGTTCGTCCAGGAGAAAAAGGTGAAATGAGAAGCTTGTCTCAAAGAAGAAAGACGGGGTAAGGCTGTTATTAACTGGTAGGTGGCGGTGGTAATGGTGACAGTCTCGTAAAGAGCAAGATCAAAAACACAGAAATGGGAGCTCAATGGTCTCGCTTAGACACAAGCCGTGGCCAGAGTTACTTCAGTGGTAATCTCACTTACCCTAAGCAGAGCAGAGGAAGGGAAGGTAAGGTAAGGTAAGGGAGAAGACGTACATGGGAAAATGGGACGGAAGGTTTGAACCTGATATAATGAACAAAATAAGTATTAAAATGAGAAAAACACGAGCAATGATCATTGATGTATGAAGTACCAGACCGTAGGAAACACTGTGAATGTCTCATTCAAGCTAAGTGGAGCGTAGTAAAGAAGAGGATTAGTGAAATTCTTCTGAGGCAAAGCGAGAAAATCAGTTAGGAATACAGTAGTAGTTTTTAATGTTAAGATTGATGAAGTAAATGATTTTGGGGAGATTAATAACGGAAAAGATTAGCACAAGGCATCATGAATGGACTAGTGAACGAACGAGCGAGCAGATGAAGATGTGGATGAGAAGATAGATCGAAAAGATTAATTGAAGAAAGTAAAAGGAAAAATTGATGTCTATTTATATATGCAAGGCTATGAGTAGAAAAAGAATATATCTATATGCACCCATAAATCAGCCGAGAAAGCCGATTAATTTAGAGGAGAGTCCATTGAACAGGATTGATGTCTAACCTGGATGAGATGAATCAAAAAAGGATCAAATGAAGGGATGTTTGGACGGCCGGTTGGGGCGAGGATAAGAAAACAAGACCAGCTTAATATATTTTACGCTTATCTCAAGAAGAGATTAGTAGACACGGAAGCAAAGCGGATGTGAGTTGACGACTGCTTGAAAGTAATTTTCAGTAAACAAGATGACTGAGATGCAGTACACATCTCACCTATTTTCCGGCCTAGACTCTGGTCATTTCATGAAGTCAGATAGTTGAGTTCCAAGTCTCGAGAGACACTGGAACCGTTAGTCTCAACCAATGAAGTCTTGCGGCAATTAAGTACAGATTGGCCACTGCCTGTGTTGCCGCTGGTATTACAGCTGTTTGTGGTGGCGTCACTGCCCGAGGCAGGCCTGACAACTATACCGTCAGGACCAAACCCATCAGGAGGAGAAGCAATTGCAGAAACAGAGGCAGTGGAAGCCACGATATCGCTGCGGTTGATGGGGCCTGTCGATGCAGTTGAACCTAGTCCCGAGGTCTGGCATATTGATGAACCAGGTAGTCCGGTTGAACTAAGGGATGCTTGTGAACAAGATAGATCAGCAATAATAGGACCATTCAATTCACAATTTGACATTGCTGTACTAATGACAGCAACAGGCGAACTATTGCAACCTGTCGTACCACCAGCTGAAGCCGTGGTGGCTAAAGAGGATAAAGATGCTTTTGAGGTGGGAAAAATGTTGGATACGGCTTTGAGTCCACTGCTAAGCTGAGCTGATGTGGAGGAAGATGAGGAAGAGGATCGTGTCCCAGCTTCATCTTTGCCGGACAATGAGACCAAGGGCACACTAGACCCACAATTGCTGATTGTCATATGTATCGTGCTCGACGAACCAAGGCTGGAACAGACAGGACAGGAAATCGCGTTAGACGCTGACGAGTGGACAGCTGCAGCAGTAGCAGTAGTAAGTGCGCCACCAGGGTTTCCATTCATTGAAGCTAAATAAGCCGCTGCAGCTGTTTTATTGATATGACCTTGGAAGGCAACAGGCTGGAAGAATAAAACATAAGATACCATTAATACATATCTAAATTACCTATAATTGAGCATTTATTCAACTAGCTGGATGGATCGTAGATATAAAAACCCAGATTGCGTGGCCTTCTGTTTGGTCGCAGCCTACTTTGGCCTAATAATGTTGTTAGGGCGACTTTTATTTCGTATGAAGGTGCATGAAGGAGAGATTCGTAGGTCAAGATCACGACGAAATGAAAGTCCCCCAACAATGCTGCCTCAAAAGATTCATCGAAACCCAGTTTCGCTTCGTATTTATAATGTTGGTTCGATCTCGTTTGCTCAACTTGTTAGAAGTATTAGACAATACTAGTAGAACGTACTTAGTCTTGTGTCCTCTGCCAATGTATTCGTGATTTCCAGTATCAGACCATCTACTGAATACAAACTAAAACATTTAGCCTGCATCTTCAATGAGGCGCCATCGTTAGCACCAAATTACAATTTATCAGTGACAAATGAAGGCATGCTTGTGTGCCTTTAATGAGATGACTAATGGCATGCACGTGCACAACTGACTAGAAGTAGGATAAAGTAGACTGTCAATTTGGAAGATAACAGGAGTGTGATTTACGTGTTCAAAAATAAATACGGGAAGCGGTCTATCTTCATATTAGATATTCCTAATCAAGCCAGACCCAAGACCACGGGTGGGGATGAGAAAAAAGATAACTGTCCTAAGCCTAAGAGAATCACCTATTTTTAAATCTTCGAATATGACGTAAACAGGGACCGGAATTAAAGGAATATGGGCAGCCAGATACAGACTTTAATGTGTAGGAGACAATTGGCAAGTGGGATGGGGAGTAGATAAAAGTCAGAAGCGAACGGCATCTAGAACTAGTGGTGAAGGTGATTATGCTTCAGAAAATGCACGTGAAGCGACATACTGTTATACTGTTAGGTGACATTAAAGGAAACAAGAACATAATGGTGTGAATAGGTAAATGGGCCATGTGAAGTGGAATTAAAAGATATGCAATAAAAGATAGGATTAAAAATAGGGGTAGGAAGTTATGCCACAACGGTCTAAGAGAAAAATAGCTTTCACTTGTAACTGTCATAAGAGTCGCGCCTCTCAGTGACGATGCCGATTATGATGTCTGCGAAACGTCCGTGAATGTACCAAATCAATAGTCTAATGCTAGAAGTCATCATGAATACTGTGGCAGAGGACGGAGGACTAGGTAACTTCCACACGGTTTCTCTTTCGCTCCGAAAGAGCTTGGAAAACGAAGTCAAACAATGCAGCTAAAGGAGACTGTAAACAAAGAAAGTCACATTATCTAGCTAGATAAAACTAGGCAGAAATCCTATCTAGTCGCAAAAAAGGGGTCGCGGAGGATTGTTCAGAGGACCCACTCGATAAAAATATCCTCATCGAAGTTACGCTAATTAGAGAAAAAAACAAAATCGCTCGTCTTTAATAATTCCCCAACAAATGTAAGCACATAGTGTTAAATAATGATGCGAAAATTCCATATGGATAGACTTTGCTCAGGGTCATTCCAAATATTTATCCTTCACAAATCACTAAGATAGATTTGGTAAATATTTGTCGCAACATTAACAAGAAAACGGGCCACATGAAAAGGGGACGGAATTTAGTAATGTTTATGCCTTTCAGTTATGATCCTTCAGTTAGGTAGAGTTTACAATGGAAATAACTTTCAAAATACAGCTTCTATAAGGTGATACAAATTGTAACGGAACGTTTGTGAATGTAACAAGTCAAGAGAACGAAGATGTAAATCATGAATACTATATCAGAGGACAGTACTAGGTGAGTTCCACAAGGTTTGCCTGGCGCTCCGACCAAGTTGCG